CCTCCCACGTGGTTTTTTTTTCAGTTCTTAACTCAAATCTAAGTATGTAAGTCAAGTCAATATTTTCCTATGAGAGTGGTTCTTAAGTCAAAATGTTCTTAACTCAAGCCGTTCTTAAGTCAAGACCCCACTGTAGACCAAAACTTTCATGTCAACTTGACTGATACACACTGTGGCTGATAAATATGACTGTGCAATTATGGCAACTGCTTTTTTTAGCCATTGCAGACATATAAACCACCATCACAACAACAACAATTGAGAAGTGTGAGTTAGTTTTTGAAAGGAACTATAGTTTTTGAGCATAACTGTTGTTATGTGCCATCAGTTTGTTTCTGGCTTACAGTAACCTAATCATTACCAACAATGCTCAGATCCTACATACTGAGAGTGTAACTAGAATTGTGCAAAACATTTCTCTTAGTTTTTAGTCTGCATCACTATATTCCTAGAGGTCCATGGTACAGAATGTCTGGAGTAGCCTCGTTCTTCAAGTACAGCATCCAGGATTCTCTGTTCTACAATGTCAGAGAATGTGCCAGTTCTGATTTAAAGCATCCTTTCCAGGGTTTTCTAGGTAGAGCGTATGTTCCCTTCTTCTGGGGGCACCCTCGTACTATGCAGCTTGCCCAGAACTACACATGATGGCTCTTTACCTGCAACATGTAGCGGGGAATCAAACTCTGAACCTCTGGGTCTGCAGCCAGATACCTAATCCAGCGAGCTATGCAGCCAACTCTCTGGTCACCAACCCTGAAAAAGCAGTTCTGCAAACAGATGGCTATAACAGTGAAAAGTGGCACATCGTGTTTTAATTTTCTCATGCCACTTCTGGATTGGAACATATTTTTCCATGAGGAAGAGACACGTGGCACAGCGGTCAAACTGTAGTACTGCAGCCAAATCTCTGCTCAGAGTCAGTGTTCAATGACAGGGAATCTGACAGCCAGCTCAAGGTTGACTCAGCCTTCCATCCTTCTGAGGTCGGTAAAATAAGTACCCCGCCGTGTTTTAATTTTCTCATGCCACTTCTGGATTGGAACATATTTTTCCATGAGGAAGAGACACGTGGCACAGCGGTTAAACTGTAGTACTGCAGCCAAATCTCTGCTCAGAGTCAGTGTTCAATGCCAGGGAATCTGACAGCCAGCTCAAGGTTGACTCAGCCTTCCATCCTTCTGAGGTCGGTAAAATAAGTACCCCCCCTCTCTCTGTGTGTGTACGTGTGTGTGTGCAATGTGTAGCTAGTGTAATAAAAATATTCTAAACCACCCAGAGAGTGCTTGAAGCACTATGGGGTGGAATATAAGCAGCACACTTTGCTTTCTGACTTGAATGCACATCCAGTAGCTGTTTTCCCTCTTGTCACCTCACCTTTGGCAACAGTTGTACACAACACTTGGAAGATTTCCTTTTTTCTGACTGTAACTTGCAGAATTCCCCAAGCAGTATCCAATTCCCCCCCCCCCAGGTTGTATTTATGAATTTAACTGTCCTTCTCCTCATGGAAAGGGACATAGCAAAGTTCCATTATCCATGGCATAGTTGTTGGATATCGAACAAAGAATATTATTATAGCAGTATTGCAGAATGTCATATGAGCTGGGCTTCCAACCAACAGTTGTGAGCTTCAGTTAAGAGGCAAGCCGGATGACTTCACCATGCTAGTGATGCAATAAATTTAAACATCCTTAATGTTGTGGGTGATTTACTGGGTGGTCAGGAGAAATCTGCAGTGACAGTTCTAATATCCACTCTCTCTTAATAATGGTGATCATGATGATGGTGGTGTGTTTAGACTTACAGCAACCCTTTTCAGAGTTTTCCAGGTAGAAAATACTCAGACATCCAAAGGTGCCTCCTGCTTCTGGGGGCACCCTGAGACTGTGCAGAGTACCCAAGGCCACACAAGCTGGCTCTCTCCTCCCAGGAGGCACAGTGGGGAATCGAACTCCCAACCTCTGGCTCCACAGTCAGTTGCCTAACCCACTGAGCTATCCAGCCAGCGTAGCCAATTAGTACCTTCAAAAACCTGTGGAAGGGGGAACAGGAACAGAGTGTCTGTTTGAATGTGGTCTGAGTCAGAGAAGGATGTTTTAAGAGAGATCCTGCTCTGGGAGGGAGAGAAGGATGTTGGAAGGAGTTTGTGGTGTGGATGTGAAGGAAATTGTAATTAATTACCTTGCAAATGTCCCTTTCTTTGCTAAATGAACAAAAATATCTATAAAGCATATTTCATGTTCTACATAGCAAAATTCTTTCTAGGATGTAATTCTGAATTTGCATTGTTGCATGGTAACCAAGGGTGTTATTTTGTTTGTTTGTTATCTTCAGCACAGGATAGGAGGTGGTAGGGAAATGGCAGGGGAGGAAAGCTGAATCTTTTCCTACTGGTATGTGTGAGTCCTTACCCACACCCAGCCACTATGTTCTCACCTGGAAGAAAGAATGCTACCAGGGTTCTGTTACATGCTACATATTTAACATATTCTCTTCTATTCTGTGAGATGTTCATATCTAGCCTATAAAGCAGTGGTCCCCAACCTTGGGCCTCCAGATGTTCTTGGACTACAACTCCCAGAAGCCTTCACCACCACCTCTGCTGGCCAGGATTTCTGGGAGTTGAAGTCCAAGAACATCTGGAGGCCCAAGGTTGGGGACCATTGCTATAAAGCCTTAAATGGCTTAGACCCAAGCTATCTCAAAGACTGTGTCTCCCACTATGAGCCAGCTCAAGTGTTAAGATGATCAGGAGAGGCCTTTCTCTTGGACCCGGCACCTTCATAGGTGTGTTTGATGGGGACACAGAAGAGGGCCTTCTTTGTCGCTGCTCCCAGACTCTGGAACTCCCTCCCACAGGAGGCCAAGCTGACCCCATCTTTGCTATCCTTCCACAAGCAGGTGAAAACCTTTCTCTTCTGGGAAGTTTTCCCTCAGTGTTTGGCTTGGCTACCTGAGCGGGGTTTTTTAAATGGATGATTGTGCCTTACTGCTTTGAATGTGTTTTTGGTGTTGCTTTGGTTAGTCATGTTGTAGCCCTTTGGCCCTTTTCAGCATTTGTATACTTACTGCTTGTAGCTTAAAACATTGTCTTTTAATTACGGTATGTAAGCCACCTTAGGTCCTTTTTAAGGAGAAATAAAAATAGAATAAATAATGAATCCTTAGCTCCCTTGTTCGCATCCATGAAACCATAAAGTGCACATTTCATAAGCTGGACAATGTTTCTCACAGCATTCAGATCCCCTGGAGATATCTGTTCATAGCCTAAAGGGATCATTTA